CTGTTCTGGAGAGGAGCCCAGCAGGCAGGCGCTGGGAATCATCTAACCTCACTAGGCAAAATCAGGTGATATCAATTAGGGGTACAGAGGAGAACATTCCCCTTGAAATACAACAGAGCACTATGAAGTGGACCCACCTAGGGTGGGTAGAAATTCTGACCAGGAAGCTAGTGAAGGCTGAGAGGCACAATCTAGATCAGGGATCGGCAACCTTTGGCACACGGCCCACCAGGGTAAGCCCCCTGGTGGGCCGGGCCGGTTTGTTTACCTGCCGCGACTGCAGGTTCGGCTGATCATGGCTCCCACTGGCCGCAGTTCGCCGCTCCAGGCCAATGGGGGCTGTGGGAAGCGGCGTGGGCTGAGGGATGTGCTGGCCGCTGGTTCCCACCACCCCCATTGGCCTGGAGCAGCGATCAGCGGCCAGTGGGAGCCGCGATTGGCTGAACCTGCGGTCGTGGCAGGTTAACAAACCAACCCGGCCCGCCAGGGGGCTTACCCTGGCGGGCCGCATGCCAAAGGTTGCCAATCCCTGATCTCGTTTGAGAATGAGATTGTTATTTTATGTTGTCTCTCTACAGTTTCTTTCTGGGATAATAAACAGAGCCCTGGAACCAGGGCTATGATCAGATTTGGGTATGGCTAATTATCTAGAGTCCACCCTTCTACCCAGGTGTTACACTTGTTATCAATCACCTGCCAATACTTGTGAATTTACAGTTACAATTTCCTGTTTTTAAAATGTTTGGTCTCATATTGCTGTGGGAAAAACACAAGCAAATGAGGGAAGTGGACTAAACCCCAATCCTGCAGGGTATAACAGTAATAATTACTTCACCTACAGTAGGTGTAGGTGCCTGCCCCATGTAGATCAGCTGCTAACCGAATGTGTGGAGGAAAGAGTACAAGCTAAGTAAGCACAAAGCACAGTCAAATTCCCAAAACAAACAAATGGAGGGGGGGAAAACAGAAGAAAGAGGGTTGTTTTTTTTCTGACCTTGCTTTACATTGTAGTAATAGTCAGTGCTATTTATACTGACACTAGATAAACTATTATTTCTGATTTTTTTAAAAGTTAAATATGTTCTCAACTGATGATGATGGCAGGTGCACAGCTAGTAGGGAAGGGATTCTTATAACTGCAGTTGGTATGTTAAAGCTTTTTTGTATTTTTAAAGAGTACTGTTAGCCTTTAAACTGCCCCTAAATATTTGGCTCACCGTTTCAAAGAGTTTACAGCACTCTACGTGTTACTTGCATTTTGAAAATACTTCTCAGCTTAAATTACTTTGCTTTATTTTGAGGTTGAGCAAGGTTTCCATCCGTAGGCCTTTGAATTGATGCAAAATTAACAAGGCATAATAGCCACACACAAATTCTATCTATTACAGTTCTACCACTATCTTCCCACTCACTTGCAAAAATGCATTATTCTAACCTATCCTATTCTTCTGTATACTCCTGTAGGGGGGAGAGAGAGAGAGAGAGAGAGCCTGGAGCACTGGGCCTGGTATAAGATCTGAGGCCTGAACCATATTATAGCCATGTATTAAAGCAGATGTTTACAAGTTTTACTGTCGGATACTTGGCAAAGGTACTGCTAGTGTTCCTAGAACGCAGGCACTCCTAAGAAGTAACAGATACTAGGTATGCATGTGAACACACTCGGGAAGATTAAAAAAAGGTACATCCTGACTTAACACCAGATAAGAGGGTTTGACAGAAATGATGAACAGGGATATTTTGCCTGAGACAACTGGAGCAAGATACAAGGGGAGGTAACAAGCAGATGCCATGAAATAAGTAAGGTGGTATATAAGTTGTTTGTCTCAGTCCATAAATGTCAGAGTACCTCACCGACTGAGCCACTCCTTGCCTCGTGTATTAGCCTACCTGTAACCACAGATCCAGGGAATTGGGACTGTGCCTCGAGGGCAATAAACCTGGCCAAGAGCATTTGTCACTGAACAGTGCCTGTGATCTTTCTTTCTGGATAGTACTTATGACACTCTGCCTCAAAGACACACTCTGCACCCCATATTCACCATGGTGATATTGATACGTTTTGTATAACATATGCCTTGTGAGGTATCATTCTAAAAGTCTTTGTATGTTGAACATTAATATCTTGTTAAGTTGTATGTGCTATCATGGTATAGGAAGTTATAAATTTTTGCTATGTATGTATTACTGAAACATGTTGTGAGGTTGGGAACACCCACAATCAGCCTTTCAGGTACAACAATAAAAAGGCCAAACAATGTTAATGGCCTATTGAGGAGATACATACCCTCACAAGGATTACCCCAGAACCTTGGTACAACAGAAACCTCTCAGAGATAGCACTACACAATGGGGACTGTTTGACTCAGGTCACAGCAAAAGATCTTTCCAGCACATTGGAAGAAGATATAAAAGGGGGAAGTGACATCATAACAGGGCCTCACTCCCCTACAACAACACAACACCTGGAAACACCTTAGGAACAAAGACTGAACTGGGGAGCATCCCAGGCAGGAAAGAAGGAAGTCCTGCCCAAGTATGGAAGCTTGATGGACTGTTTGTACTATCAAACAGCTCTGTGGTAAGACCGGGAGTGGTCTGCAGCTTGTCAGGCACAGTGTGAGAGGGAGCCCAGGCTGGTGAGACAGGGGTCAGTGGTACCCCAGTTCCAGGTTGCACCTTGGTGTGGGGAGCGGTCAGAGTACTATTGAGGTCTGCTGAACCAACTATCTGCACAGGGCTGGGACAGCATACGAAGAGAGCACACATGTCCATCAACCAATGACAACTCCTACCTCTTTCACCATAGTCTCACTTCGTACCTTGCTCCATCCTTCAAAAACAATTCACCATTAAGCATGAAGTTGTGCAGTTACTTACCTTTGTACCCACATGCGCTTATAGCAAACTTTGTTCTCTCTAACACCTTTTCTCCTAGTGTCAGTGCTTAAAGCTTTCCAGGTCACAGATCCAGAAAATAAAATTTCAAACAAGCAAGTTGGCTTGTGGAGGGGGACACATGTTTAGTACAGCCTGAGGAAAAACCTGCTCTGACTGGTGGCTTTCCCCACTTGTGTAAATTCTGGGGCAAATGGGGAAAGCCTCCTGGGCTGCTGCATAAAGCAGGTAGAGCTCTCTCCCCTCGGGTACTGACATTGTTTTATTCTATATAGGTCTTCATACCACATGCATCACTATAATATCTGAGCACCTTCTAGTAAGTCATTAAGCAACATGGCTAACATCTGTTGTGTGTTTTGTTCTCTCCTCCCCGTAGGGGAGAGGATAAGTGGAGCATGTACACTTAAAAAAAAAACCAAATACCTGTTGTGTGTGAGAGACGGTAAGGTCAAAGAACCGTGCCTCAAACTTGAGTTGGAACCAGTAGCACTGGGGTTTGTGATGACCATTAGTTCCACAGTCTGGGGCCACCCCTGGAGAAAGTTTTATCTCCTGCACAGCAGAGCTTTACTCTTAGTGTTCAGAGTTCCCTTGAGCCAGTGGAGGGGAAAAGAGCAGAGAAGCCATCCTGTTTCCCCACCCTGGAGAAGAGGGGAAGTAGAAAGAGCCCAGGGAAGCTCTGTTTTTCTCCTCCCTTCCTGTGAACAACAGAACAGCTCCTCTGCTTTTCCTAGCCTTCCCTGCAATACCAGGTCCAAGAAGGGGGAGGGTGAAACCTGTTGCAATGCCCTCCCCCTAAGCCTGGGAGAGGTGGATGTAGAATGTTAGGGGCTGTAGAAGGAGCAGAGGTGAAGTGGGGGGGAGGGGCAGAATTGACAAGGGGGGCTGGCACAGCAGAAGTGACTGGGAGGGGAGTGATAGACCCTCCGCTCTTTTCACACACTTTTAAGCATGGTGTCTTTCATGCCTGGTCTGAAACCAACTGTAAGGTTTTCAGGAAAGACTACATATATGTTTGTACAGCATGCAGTATAACAGGGCACCAATCAAATTACGACATCAATAATTTCAGCCCAATACACTTATGAACAATCTGTTACCTACAACATCATGTTGTAATGAACACTCACTGTACAGAGATTGACCTGACTTGAATTTCCTGAAGTTCCATACAGCATTGTGGGAGGGGAGAGAGGAAATACAAGGGAAAGGCTCAGGACAGTTAACTCGGTCAATAGTGCAAACGAAGGCTACATCATAACACCCTTCCAAAAGCTGATCCCAGGTAGGTCTGAGGAGAGCTGCACAATGTGACTTACCTAGGGCTGGGAACCCAGAGCACTCAAGTAGCAGGTGGGGCAGTTGTTGCATTAGCACTGCTGCAGCAGAAGCCCAAGAGAAAGCTGCCTGCTTGCTGGCTTTGCTCAGGGGCACAGAATTAAGGGTGACTGAGTGGAGAGGCTCAGCTATAAGCAGTCCCGCAGCTGCAGCAAAGAAGCAGTAGGCAGTGAGCCAACTAAAGCCGGGAAAGGCTGCTACGGATCTGGGAAAGGGGCCCAGAAGAAGAGTGGTGTATGTGAAAGGGATGGGTGAGCCCACCAGCAACAATGAGGCGACAGCAGCACAATAGACAGCTACAGGCCTCAGCCACAGCTCAGAACAGCTTCCTGCCCATTTCCAGGCTAACACAGCCCTGTGTGAGCCACTCCTCCAGAACAGTCTTAAAGAAACAGAAGCACACACAAGACTGCTACCACCAGGGATACTAGAAATCCACCACACGTGAGGCTGGCACGGCAGACACATATTGTATAGCTCACAAAAAGAATATAGCCCCTGAACTATTCTCTCAGGAAGGTGCTCTACATAGAATAGCACTGCTAAAAGGGCACAGGACCCAGCTCAGGCAAGAAAGAGTCCCTAGCAGAAGAGAAAGCTAACATTATTTCCTCCATGTCTATTTGTTTTTTTCTTTAAATATAATTACCAAATAACTTTGATATACAAGCTAGAGGAACAGGAGTGAGCTAATGTTATGGAAGAGACACATGCCTGATTATATAATACAAAATAGCAATACTCTTAAAAAGCACACTTACCTTCAACTCACACAAACAGCTCTATCTCATACAGTCCTTATTAGACTCCTGAGCACAATAAATGTGAGTAAAATGCAGCACAGATAAGTATTAATCCTAGACTTCCAAATTCAAAGCTAACCTTTGTCTGTGTATTTCTGAACTACTATCAAAGCCTGGTAAATGTATAACTAAAACTCAGACAATTAAAATGAAGTTGTCTGAGCTGTTCACCTCCCGAATTAAGAGACCTCAAAGAGCTATCATGACATTAATTATTAACATTGCTTATTTAAAAAATGCTGCAAACTGCCTACTTGCAGGAATAGCAAATCTCTACAGACCTTTAGAATGCCAGAATTCCTATAAATAAATGAAAATAGCAATAGCAGTGCTATTTACTCATAGTATTTTCAGGATAGGTTTAATTGCTCAGAGTTCTAAATTGAAGGAGAAAATCAGGAGCCTCATCTACCTCCCCCTAACCTGCTCCTGCCAGTTTCTTTACCCTTTCATTGTTACATCCACCATAAGGTTGCCAGTTTTGGTTGGATGTATTCCTGAAGGTTTGGTCACATGCCATGATCTTTAATTAAAGATTAATCTTTAATTCTTGGAAATTCCAAGAAAATCCTAATGGGTTGGGAACCCTAATCCCCCAACAACCTCAAAATTCTCACTTGCTTCTTATGGCAGGCTCTACACCTCTCCACTGCTGGTTCTTCACAGATGATGTAGGATGGATTGATTTAAATCAAAATTGCAATGATCTTGGGGTTCATTAAATAACAAACTAGTGAATGAGAAAGGAAGAAAATTTTAATAAAACAAGCTGGAGAGCATCTCTGATGAACTGCTGCACAAAGCCCTGTGGTGTTCCCAATCCCCACCTCCAGGGCACATCTACAAATTCCTATGTTGATAATACTGTCTCTTATAAGGGAGCATCTATAAATTATAATCTTCTACAAACATTTTTCTATATCTTCTGCCTTGACAAAAAACAAATTAACTCGTGTGTGTGTGTGTGTGTATGTGTGTGTGTGTATATATATAAACAGCTAACAACTATCTAATGACACATGTATTAAATTCTCAGCCCATGTAGTACAATTACCTAGAGAAGAGAGGTTACCAGCAAATCACTCAAGTGAGTCTTTGCCACCCACTTTTCTCAAAACCCTTTCTCCAGGCAGGTTAGCAAGTCTCTATGAGTCTTTCAGGAGGTTCAATCTCCTGCTAACATCTTCTCAATATCGGCCTTTCATTAGAGTCTGAGTTGTTCTCTTGTTACTTGACAGTTTCTCCTTTGTGGGTTGATGATAAAGGATCAGTCAGATGGGAAATGCCAAAGTCCATATTTACTGTCAATGTATTGGAACTTTCTGGGATTACTCGTAGATCCCTTTGATTACGTCAAAATGTGTCCCCCTGGTCTGTCTGGACTACATAAGACGTTGGATGCAGATGTTCTTTAATGGTACTCCTTTGGCCCCAAGTATTAGAGGTGTGATTCCTCAGGCACACTCTATCACCTGGGTTAAGAGATGGGAGATCATGGACCCTTTTGTCAAAATAATATTTCTGCTTCCACTTCTGATTTTCTTTCATCTTCCATATGGTTTCATTGTTAGGAGATTTCAGCAGGTTATCAGTAATTGGTAAATTAGATCGGATCCTTCTTCCAATTACCAGCTGAGCTGCAGGAAAGCCATTCTCCAGAGGTGTACTTAGGTAAACAATAAAGGTTTATACAAATCACCCCCACTGACAAAAGTCTTTTTCATAAGGTTCTTTACTGTCTATATAGACCTTTCCACAAATCCATTTGATTGGAGGTAATTTGGACTTGATGTTTTGTGATGAAAATCCCAATCTATGGCAAATTGCCTAAAATCTGCACTGAAAAATTGCAGTTCATTATCACTAAAGACTTCATCTGGAATTCCATGATTGGAGAAGATTTCCTTCATGCCAGCTATCACTGATTTACTATTACTACTGTGCAGTGTGAAAATTTCTGGATACATAGAAGAGCAGTCTGTGACTATTAAATAATCCTTTGATTGCCAGGTAAATGTCAGTGCTTACCTTCTCATAAGGCCTTTGTGGAACTGGATGAGGTCTCAGTGGCTCTGCCTATTGGCATGGCTTGTATTTCAAGCATGAAAAACAGTTTTTATCCGCAGACAATGAGCACCTCTCGTGTTCATTGTTTGCACTTCTCAATTCCTAAAGGACCCTTGTGGATCTTCTGTAGCATTTCTTTTTAGAGGCTCATTGGAATTACAACCTTACTCGAAAATCACACCATCTATCACAGTAAGTTCATGTCTGCAATTCCAATAGCTCTTATACTTGGATAGCAACTGCTTATTTCTTCAGGCCACCCTTTAATTACCACTTCTTTAACGATTTCCAATTATTCATCTTTCTCCATTTCCTCTCTTATTTGTTGCAGTTTCCTGTTAGCTATGGGAATTGACTTTACAATCAGATCTGCATAGGCTTGCATCCCTGTCTCTAAAGTCTTCTCTGGTTTCGTGGAAGCCGCTGCTCTGGAAAGTGTATCAGCAGTGAACATGAATTTACCAGGTATGTAGGACACAACCAAATCATATTTTTGCAACTTTATCATCATTTTTTGAATCCTTAAGGTGTAGTCATTTAGTGGTTTGCTAAATAACGTTATCAGGGGCTTGTGATCCGTTTCAACTTCCACTATCTGTCCATAAATATACTGATTGAATCTCTCACAAGCAAGCAATATTCTTAAAAGCTGCTTTTCAAGCTGTGTGTATCTGGTTTCTGCCTCAGTCAGTGATTTGGATGCATATGCAAGTGGTTGCCAAGAATCCTCTGTAAAATCACTGCACCTAACCCAGACTGTGAAGTAGCTGCTGAAACTTTAATAGGCCTTTTTGGTACATAGAACTTTAACACTAGTTCTTGCATCAGTTGTTGTTTTAAACCTTCTCATGATTCCTCCTGTTCTGCACCCCAATACCATTCATTTTTATTCTCTAGGAGTTCTGAAAAATGCTGTTTTGGTAGATGGAAAATTCATACTAATCTAAGATAATTAACCATTCCCAGGAACCATTGAACATCTTTCTTTGATGGTGATGTGGCATCATTTCAAATCTTCCTCTTATCAGGTTTACACCTTCGTTGGAAGTAATGTCCCCAACAAAAGTCAGTTTTGTAACCCCTAAAAAACATTTCTCCCTATTTAGTTTGAAGTTTGCAGCTCTAGTTGCATCCAGGACTTCCTGAAGTCTACAATCATTCTCCTCTTTCATTGAGCCCCAGATGATGGAGTGATCCACTGAGGTGTCAAAACCATTAATATGTTCATAGATAATAGGTATAGTTTGTGATACACTTCTCGTGATGAACCTATGAAGGGTAAGTGTAAGAATGTATATCTTCCAGATAGGGTATTAAATGTGCACAGCTTTGAGCTTTCTTCAGTTAATTTTAGCTGTCAAAACCTCAAGGATGCATCCAATTTACTGAAATCTTGAGCAGATGCAAACTGAGCCATAATCTCTTCTCTGGTTGATAGTTTGAAATGTTCTTTTTTTACAGCCTTGTTGAGGTCTCTAGTATCTAAGTATATGCATAGCTGGCCATTACTTCTCTCCACAATGACAAGGGAGCCTACCCATTTTGTTGGCTCCTGATTTTTTTGTATTTGCATTGCTTCCATCCTTGCAAGCTCAGTCTTGAGTTTATCACTGAGTGCAAATGGCACCTTTCTACATGGATGGATAACTGGAGGGACCTGCTTGTTTATCCAGATTATATGTTCACCCTGCAAGCAACCCATCACGTGAAATAGGTCATGATATTCCTGAAAGAGTGCCTCATAGCCAGGTTCAGTATGATCTTGTAATGAGAGCACGTGTTTTATTAGATTGAGTTTTTCATATGCAGCCAGGCTTAAAATTGGTGTCACCTCCTTTGGCACTACAATGAATGGGACACTGTACATGGTATTTTAATGGTTTATGCTAGCAATATACCTTCGTAGGTATATTTATCCCAGAATAACCAGTTATTTCATTTTTTGGTCCCAGTTCTGGTCATATTTTCAATCTCTCATAATCTTGTTTAAACAGAATATTAACCTGAATTCCTCTGTCCACTTTCAGTGGAATAATTGTTCCATTCACTGTCATAGGTAGCATCCAGTCCCTGTCATCAGGCTTGCTAGATCTCAGTACGTCTATGAAAAACTCCTCAATCAGATTATCTTTAAGTGAATACACTTGATTTTTCTGCATTTGGGATCTGCAGCATTTTACAAAATGATTATTTTTCCCATATTGATAACAGAGTTTCCCAAAGGCATCACACTGTTTGAGGCCTTGCTGTAATCCACACCTTCCATATGACTGTCTGTACCCAGTCTTTCCTCAAATAGTGGTTTTCATAGCGATTGGTTCCACTCTTCGATTTGACCTAATCTAGCTATATTCTTTTGCATTTAGTAGATAGATAACACCATCTGGTGGATTCAGCTCTTTGGCTTGTGCTTTCACAGTTTCTGCTGCCCTGCATATTTGAAGAGCTTTTTCTAAACTTAAGTCTCCTTCACGGAACAGTCTCTCTCTTAACACATTGTCTTTAATGCCACAAACCAGAGACTGTCAGCTCACCAAAGTCACAGGTTTTACCGAGTTCCCTTAATTCTGTGACATATTGTTCTATGGTGCTATCGGTTTTTTTCATGCATGTAAGAATTTGTCTTTCAAAGGTTTCATTCCTTTTTCTCATGCAATGTTCCTCAAATTTAGTCAGTATTTTACTTAACTTCATGCTTTCACCTTCTTCAAACTTAAAGTTGTTATAAATATCCAGTGCTTCCTCCCCAACAACATGCAAAAAGACTGATGGTTTCATTTTTCTCCTCTGCCCCTCTGGCTGCCAAATACAATTCAAATCTCTATCTAATTTTTTTCCAGTTGTCTGCAACATTGTCTGACAAATGCAGACTGAATGGAAGTTGCAACATATACATTTTGGGCTTATTTTCTCCCTTCTTAAGCTAGTCAAGCTAATACTGTGCTCACCAAATACATGCAAAAGCCTCTGTGCCTGGTGCTCCACGTGCTT